GCCGCGGTTCGAATGGCTGCATTCAGCAGAAAAAGCAGTTTTGCAACTGTTATAAAATTCTTAGATGTAATTAGTTTATATTTAAATCCAGTGAGGAACTAAGAACAAGATCTAAATAGAAAAAATTAATCAGTTAGAGCTTAGTGATTCTTTAATATGATTCTTACCTTTGATTGGTTCTTACCTTTAGTTCTTCGCAAAATCTAAGTATAGGAACCATCGTATTAAAGAATTACTAAACACTAACTGATTAGTTTTCTTTGCTGAATGCAACCATCCATATTAAAGAATTTTACAATAGCTGTAAAGATGCTTTTTCTACTGAACACAGCCATTCACACTTATAGTGAATCAAACTGAGTTTATCAGTGCTTACAACATTAATGGTCGCTCCTAAATTGTTATATATAAGAGAAACGACATCGGCGTCGCAATTTCTGATTGGTGGTACTCCTACCTAATTAAAGCAGCCATATTGTGTCCGCAGTGGAGAGCTACGTAGGCTAGAAGTTGCTAGAAAAGTTTTTGCAGTCTAGTATTTCCAGTGGCGCCAACGTTCTGCTACTATCATATCCGTAAAATTAGATGTTTTTAACCTATAATTCAATTGACAGTTTGTACCCAAGCCAACTAGTTTTGTTTGCATAGTATTTTGAAAGAAGTTATTTTGTAAGAAAATGGAAATTTCGTGTAAAAATTTTCGGGCAATAATTTTTTACGATTACAAATGTAATCTAATTCCGAAACAATGCATCGATCGACTTCATTTGGCTTTTGGGAAAGCACCATCCAATAGGACTGTTTATAATTGGTTTGCCGAATTCCAGCGTGGACGTACTTTTCTTAGTGATGAATTCCGTGAAGATCGTCCATCTACGTTTGTTGTTGCCACTAATGTTGATGTTGCGCATGAAATGATTGAGCGAGATTGGCGTATAACATACCGCGAGATTCAGGCATCCTTAGGCATTGACATGAAAGCATTCGATTTTGCATGATCACTTGAGCGTACGGAAACTTTGCAGTCGTTGGATCCCACACAATTTGACCGAAGCTCACAAACAGGCTCGTGTTAAATGGAGCAAAGAAATGCTCAAGAAATTCAACCGAGGTCGGTCAAATTTGGTCTACAACATCGTTACTGGGGACGGAACATGGATCTATTCGTATGAGCCCGAAAGTAAACAACAATCCACTATTTGGGTATTTCAAAATGAACCGAAACCAACAAAAGTTATTCGTTTACGTAGTGCAAATGATTGCTCGTTTCTTCGGTTATACCGGACATGTGACAACCGTGGCTTTAGAGGATCGAAGGACTGTAAATACTGAGTGGTATACAACAATTTGTTTGCCAGAAGTCATAAATGAATTGCGTAGAACAAATCGAAATCGTCGCATCATCCTTCATCATAACAACGCCAGCTGTCACAGCACGTTGATTTTTTATCCAGTAATAATGTCGAATTGATGACTCATTGTCCGTATTCACCTGATTTATCACCTAATGACTTCTTTTTGTTCCCAAACATTAAAAATAAGATGCGTGATGAGCGATTTGAGTCGCCTGAAGCAGCTGTTGAAACATTTCGTACACTGATATCTGAGTTACAGCTTAGAGTGGAAAAAATGCTTCGAAAATTCGAGCGTATGCAAAAATGTATCGATCTTAAAGACGAATACTTCGAAAAACAATAAAGCCATTTACCGAATTGTATATGGTTTTTTTCATATTGTTTGCAGAAACTTTTCCAACAGCCTACGTATAAGGTTGGTTGTTCCATCTTTTAGTCAATTTTACCTGTGAGGTAAGTAGCAAGATTACCCAATCACATGCACGGATTACCAGATTTACTTTACAGATAAAATTTATCAAAAGGTGGAACACTCGGCCTATAATCGTGTTACATCCATCGCAGCGCGCGCGCGAACGCTTCTGATTCGCTCAAATATCGTCCCAACTAAAATGGCGGCTGATCAATTGTAGTAACAAATTTTCCTCGATGCTTATTCTATTATATATAATATTGTAACGCCCGTGCGATCGATTTTACGAGGTTGTTCTCGCAGCGCGCACCTCGAATCGCCGAAATAAAGACACGACAATTAAGAACAAGAATAAGAACGTTTATTAATGCAGAATAGAGAGAACAGAGAACATCGCGAAGATAAGCGGATCGCGAGACACGTCCGAACGCAGCTACATGTGTAACACGATTATATGAATCAAATATCGATTTCCAACCTTGAAAAGTGAACGATGTACCGCAAGAAAAGTAAACGTTGTTATGTATTTTTCGTCCACTTTATCAGAGGGCAATAGTGCGCGGCAGCATTTTGCGGTTACAGGTTTTGGACCGTCATATCCCTCTCTCAGGTTTCTCTCTGATCTTACTTTATATGCTATAGTATACGTTACTATATATTTCGAATAAAATTTTCCTCAGGGCTGCTATTCTGTAACTGTTTTACACGCTTGCCAATAGTTGTCGATATTATTGCGCAGCTTTTTCATCATATAAAATATCTGCGCAATGACACTGACAACTGTCGATAAGCGTGCAAAAACAGTTACAGAATAGTGCCCCTGAGAGGAAGTTTGGAACATAGCCCAAGCATAGATGTCCTGATCGCAGTATTTTGTGGCTAACAGATCTAACCTCAATAGTCGTCAACTTTAATGCTTAAATATCTCGATTCGCGGGGCCCACTGCCGCGGTTTTCTGCCGGATTCTTTTGTTTTAAGTAAAAACGCGGTGACGAGTTTATTTTCATTAAAATCGGAGGTGAGGTAGTTATATATATGCTAATTCAGTCACTTTTGCACTACATTAGATCAGTGCATACTAAAAACTGCTTTACATGATATTAGCAAAGTTAAATATAATAGTATGTAAATATTTTAAATGATTAACTATCTATTAATGATATTGTCACGTTTAACAAAATATATGTGTATCATTTTATTGTCAAAGTTGATAAGAGTATCACTGTATTGTGAGATATTTTATATAAAGTAGCTTTTAATATGCACTGATCCATTGTAGCAAGTAATCAAATTCACTATAAATAATTATCTTTCTTTCTTGTCAAATCTTTATTTTTACACGAAAACGCATCAATTCAGTGTACTTTTTTTATCGAAATTTAAGATGGAGGGATCTTAGCATTTACCAATCTTGTATACTGTGATACGATTCCAAGTATACAAATTTAAAATGCTCAATGATGGAAGAAGAATCTGAAGTGATAGAACATTTTTTTGGAGTATATTTATTATATTGTATGAATACAAAATATAAGGGAAGAACTTATATAGGTTATACTGTGGATCCAAGACGTAGAATTAAGCAACATAATGCTGGTAAGAAGCATGGTGGAGCATGGAAAACTAGTAACAGAGGACCATGGTAATTAAGAACTCTATTACACACGCGCGCGCGCGCGTGTACACACACACACACACACACTGCGTCCCAAAAATAGGTGGCCAAACTTCGGTATCATATTCTACATTCCTAAGGATGAAAAAGGTCATATAAATATAGGTCCAGAAATTTTTCCTTTTTAAAATATAAACATTTTTTGTTTACGAGAGAATATTTTAAAGATTTGTAATTTACTTAAAGAAATTGCTGAAAATGACTACCTTGTGCTTCGCAATATAGCTGCTGTACTTCTCTGAAATTTCCATTAGCTTATTCATACGAATATATCTGCTTCCTCAATATTTGAATAAATCATCTTGGTAATTATTTTAATCATACAACGTTTAGATAAGAATTAATTTATTATGATAAGCTTTCATGATAGTACTTACTCATCTACACAACATTTATTTCATGTAATATCTATTCATGTAAACTTTTGAGATGAACAAAAAATGTTTATATCTCAAAAAGGAAGAAATTTCCAGATCTGCGTTTATATGACATTTTTCATCCTTAGGAATAGTAGAATATGGTACTAAAGTTTGACTACTATTTCTGGGATGCTCTGTATATCATACACACATAGGGTATTTCTGCATACAATGTCAAACTGTTACCGTAGTTTCAGCACGAAAACAAGTTGAAAATATCTAATAAACATATATCTGATTCCAAACAGTTTTGAAATTATGAGATATTGAAGTAAGAAAACATAAATTATCGTAAATATTATTTAATGTTCATTATTCTATTTAATATTTTCAAAAGATGTTCAAAAATTCCTCCATTGACTTCTATACACTTTCTACTCTAGCATGAATTAATAAATTGTTTTGGACTTGATGACAAATCTTTGGAGTTTCGTAGATGACATCGACAGCGTTAAGTATCAGTTGCTATAATTGTCCTACATTCTGAATCTTATTCCGGTAGACTAGATCTTTTATTCGTCTCCAATGAAAACATCCAGTGGTGTGAGGTTGGGATTTCTCACTGGCCATTTAGTAGGAGCGACCTGGCCTGTTCCAATTTAATAAGGATAGTGATCATGGAGAAATGTGTATTTGTTTACATTTAGAGGACAAATGAAAGATCAGAAAAAGAGGATTTAGAACAACAGAATAATGAACATTAAACAATATTTACTACAATTCATGTTTTCTTACTTCAATATCCCGTAACTCTGAAACCGTTCAGAATTAGACATATGTTTATTAGACATTTTCGACTTGTTTTCATATGGTGAAAGTCACTGTAACAGTTTTGGCACTATAGACACTCTGTATATAGTTATATAAATAATGTAAAACAAACCAATGAAATAGATATTTTATATGTATATTCTAATTTCCTATAAAATTATCATATTCAGGAACATGATCTTGATTGTTCACGGATTTCCCAACAGCACTTCTGCACTTAGAGTAAGTTTTGAGCAAATTTATATTTTTTTAAGAAAAAAAATTGTGTAATTTTTTTAAATAAATTTATTTTTTTTATATCATAAACACATTACATTACTTTCATTGTTTTAGTTTGAATGGGCTTGGCAACATCCAGATATAAGTAGGCGACTAAAACATGTTCCTAGGAAGAAATCATCGCAAAAGATACTTGATTTTAGATTGATAGTCCTCTCTGAAATGTTAAAAATTGGGCCTTGGTGTCGTCTACCTTTAACTGTACGATGGTTGGACTATCAATTTTCAAAAAATTATTACGAATACATATCTCCACCGTTACACATGCCCATATGTTATAGCAAAGTCACTAGTTGTAAAGTTAAACAAACACAAAAAACGAATGAAGATAATATTCTATCACAAGAATCACAATTGCCAATAAAAAAATCATTAATATTGTGTTCTCTTTGCGACTCGAGTATGATAGAAAATGATTCTGTCACTTGTATAAAACCGAAGTGCCTTTTGATTGTTCATTTAATCTGTTTAGCAAAAGAATTTTGTAAAGATGATATGATCTTACCAATCGAGGGTATTTGCCCTATGTGTAAGTCTGATGTCCTTTGGGGAGACCTTATAAGAAAAAAGAACGGTTGTTATCAAGGTCCTGAAGAAATTAATATTAATTTTTCCAGTAATGATAATATTTAGTCATACAAATAAGATCTTATAATTATCTAAAATATAATAAATACGAATTTTTACCTTGTACTTCAAATCAGCAATCTAAATTATCATACCTTTCATTGTATGTATATGTATACACACACACACATGTATACGCGCACACACACACACACACACATAGAGAGAGGGGGACTACGTTCCTCTTCGAGAAAAATTTTACTCGAAATATATACTACACGTTACGTATACTATAGCATACAGAATAAAATGTTCCTCGGAGAGGAAGTTTTGAAACGTAGCCCTGATAAGTTTTAATAAAACGCTTGTGCTAGAGTGGACTACAATCCCTAAAAAAAACAGTCTGGCCATGCCCTCAAAATGTCACAAAAGTGATGATGATATGTTCTTAATACTTACACTTTTATACACTTTCGTACTTAGGAATTAGTTCTGTGATGTGAGTAAAGGCCGCAATTAGAATCTTTCCTTTCCTCCAATTCCGTGGAAACGAAGAATTTCAATTGATTGATTCCTTTATGCATTATGCGTTATGCAAGAGTCTATGCTGCGGCCATAAACTAAGACGGATGTGTTTGTCTTGGCTTGGATATTGCGTCATTCCCAATTTTTACGCCTGCCGGGCTTTTTGTTTCGATTTCACATTTTTATTACTCTCCCACCGGCGCACTTCCATGCGAAGGTATGTGCGGGACATATTTGATACTGGTCGTTGTTTCGTTGTTTGAAACTATGTTTTATTTGAAATTTTATATTTTTATTAAACAAATTGTATATATATTTCTTTATAACTATATTATTTTTTTACAATTATAACATTTCTTTATGCTTATAATATGAAATCGAAAACATGGGCAGATGGCCAGATTTTTCTAGGGAACTCTAGGGGACTCTAGAGCGGACTAAACTGAGTCGAAAAGTCCTCTATCATTTTGCAATTTTCACAATAGTTAACAAGATATTAATTACTAAAAATTGCCGAATATTGGTCTTCAATAATTTTTTACTCAAATATTATTAACTTTACAGAAAAACAGCAAGAGATAAAAATTATTTATTTTCTTCGCATTGAATTCCAAAAATTTTTTCAGAATTTTTGATTAATTTTTTAGTAAAGATGATGCATTTTCTTTTATATTTATAGATATATATTTTTATAAAGTTGAGAATATTTAAGGAAACAAAATATTGAAGATACCTTTATTCATATGAAGAATGAGAATTCCTTTTTCCTCATTTCACGTTTCATAAACTTTTCTTGACCAAATAAGAAGCCTTATTAGTTTTCTTTTCTTAAGGGAGATTACGAGTGTAACTTCCTTGAGTGTACTTTCCTTGAAGAGGAAGTGCAGTTTTTATAACCAAACAAACCTCTAAATTTATTTTGTCACACTGGTCTTTTTACTTTCGATAGCTTTTAATTTAGATCTGTCGCGTCGATAATTATTTTTGATAGCTTTTTTTTACAGCGAATTCGACTGGATGCATATTAAAGTTGTACACTTATTTAATTTTAGTATAAAAATAAAATGCAAATATCTCGAATTATGAAATACATATTTTACCTAATAATGCAATAAAATGTATTGAGTATTTCACGATTTAATCGATTTTTATGTTTATTTATAAACATATATTTACGTTATTTTATGTATGTACGCTGGTTTTAATGTGCATCAGTGCACACTTAGTACGTCCAATTGAATTCGTTATTAGTTTTATTTTTGTCCATTATTGTTGCAAAATGCTTAATCACGATTTTATTTAATCAACAATACCTTTATAATCTTTATTATTCGTAATTCACGATATTAGGTTTGCATATATTATGATGTCTTCAGTAAGTTACTAAAATCCCTAAAATATTCCTTCCTTCGGGAAGGCAGACTTGAGATCAGTTTATGAAACAAGGAGGCTTTGAAGAATCCTTCATGGAGGCTTCCTCCATCCTTAAAATAAGAAAGGACTATGAATACGGGTGTAATATTTGTCAATTTTTAAGTAATTAAGGAGGTCGCCTTATGTAAACCGCTAAAAAAAAGGTCATTTTTAGAAACTTTTTTTAAAGTATGCATTGGATCATTTAAAAAATTGTTGGTGTTTTATTACATATATTAAAGATTGAAAAAATTTTTTTTTATTTCAATGTAATTCATTTTGTAACTTTTATAAATAAATGTTGACGCAATCTCGTCGCCGGAATCGTGAATCGATGGGAAATCTAACGCTTTTTGTATTTGTAACAAAAAAACAAAATGGTTTCTTATTTTGTATGACAATATCTTGTCGATAAACCTAAAAAATAAGCTGAAAATTAATAAAATGGCGGCACTTTAAAAACATAGGTACGATTTTAACCCCAAAAATTTCAATTTATTTATGTAATAACAATTGTTTTAATTAATTATTTTACTAAATTTATAGTTTTATCGACAAATTATGACAATATGATAAATTAAACAATATGTGTACATAGGGACAATTCGATCGATCGAATAGTTTTTGAATTATATTTATCTTTCCCACCAGTTTTGAAAAACTAATTTTCGAGGAAAACGCGAAAACTGGTATGACCAAAAATTGCGAGAACGATCGTTCTCTATATATAAAAGTCTGGACATACTTTGGTTTGGAACTAAAATGGCGTCTATGATCCTGCGCAATATCACTGCACTGGGTCTGTAGTTTTCCTGGTGGCAGGAAAATTATGTTATCAGCGATGTCAAGGAAAGGTGAGAGATGATGCCATAAATATTATGCTTAATTCCATTTGAATTATAAACAGGTAAGCATTATGATCTTATTAAAGATATTGAATTAATGATATAAATAAAATATATATATTATATATATATATTATGTAGTAGAAAAATAACATTCTAACCTTTTTATAAATTGCGACTATTATTTTTTTCTCAGAAAAAATGACTAGTTGTTGTGTGCCCGGATGCAAAAAAAACAATAGTGAAAAAATTTACGTGTTTATGAAATAAGTTATGTAATATTTATTAAGTAAAATGACAAATATTTATTAGTATGTAATATTATTTTTTAAATCCATTTTGCTGAAAACATGTGGGAGAAAACTTGAGTCGATGGGACAAGAAAATTAAAACATAATGTTGTGCCAACAATTTTTCCAATTATTTATCAAGGAAAAGAAGAAAACTCTCATACTCGTACAGTATGTTCATTCACTTTAAATATGATGTAAAATATAGAATATACAAAATGATTATATATTTTCTAATAGGTAAATTACGAAGGACTTTACAAAACGTCTTTCACACTTCTCTCGGATACATCAAAAGAAGTTACAATACAAATGCATATACACGTGGAGCATATTCCGTAGAATATTCAAAACTCTGTTCAGTGTGATACCACTGCAGCAACATTCAAATCAGACGATGACAATAAAAAGGAAGAGTTGAAAAGAAAACTCAAAGAAGCAAATGAAAAGCTTAAAACTGCTAACAGAGCCATTGCTAAAAATAAAAGAACAAAAAGAAATGTGATGCA